CAGGACAACCATAAGGCCGAGGCCTCTACGTCCTGGAAGATTAGATTGGATTGGATTGGAACTGAACTGAACTGAAGTAACTGACCTTGAAGCTTGTTCGGTTCAATAGATTTGTGTTGCTCGTGGCGCTATATTTGTACTCCCTTTCGGGTGCATATTCAATTCTCGTGTGAGCATGCCGATTGAAGATTACGAAGGCTATCTCGATCAGGACGAAGAGTTGAGTGATCCCAATGCGACCATCGATCCTGCCTGGGAATTACAACAAAAAAAGGTTTGGTCAGGTTGAACAGTTCTCTTATGATTTCATAGACTTTCACTGCATGGTGCAATGCTCATCTACGCAAAGTTAACGAACAGATTGAGAGTATTGAAAATGACTTCAGAAGCGGTCTCAAATTGATGCGTCTACTGGAAGTGATTTCTGGTGAGCATCTTCCCAAACCGGACCGCGGGAAGATGCGTTTCCATAAAATCGCCAATGTTAATAAAGCGTTGGATTTCATAGAAAGCAAAGGTGTTAAACTAGTATCTATTGGTGCAGAAGGTATGCCAATAAGTTGTTTTGACAGCCCTCAGAAATCGTCGATGGCAATGTAAAGATGACCCTCGGCATGATTTGGACAATTATTCTGAGGTTCGCTATCCAGGATATCCAAATTGAAGGCATGTCTTCCTTTAATTTTTGATCATTCCACATTCAGACTCATCTGCTAAGGAAGGATTGTTGCTTTGGTGCCAGAGACAAACAGCACCTTATAATAATGTCAAAGTTGAGAATTTCCACACGAGGTAAAATCCTAATAAATGCTCATTTTCTGTAGCTTCAAGGATGGCCTTGCATTTTGTGCAATCATTCATCGTAATCGCCCAGAGCTCATTAAATACAATGATCTGAACTCGGTAAGAAATGAACTCAGTTATGTAATAAAAATCACAGCAACACGCGTTGCACAACTTGAACTATGCGTTCGATGTTGCCGAGAAACACCTGGATATTCCCCGCATGTTGGATCCTGAAGGTCAGTTTTCTAGAGCGATTCTTAATTTTCTTTAGATATGGTTCAAAGTGCCAAATGTGATGAACGTTCGGTCATGGCATACGTTTCCATGTACTATCACAAATTCGCTGGGGCTAGCAATGTGAGTTTCGCATTAACCAGATTGTATCTAGATTGTCCAAAATCATAAAAGTGATTTGGTTAATAATGGTAATTAGAACAGCTAATTTAATTATAATATACACCATTCATGGGCATTAGTTGTTGACGGTGTTTCGATTAGACAGTGTTGCTTATGGTTCATTGCTGCCATACTGGACTTTGTGTGAGAACGTAGCTCAATGGCTCATGCATATTGACGCTTTCTACCTTTATTAAACGACAGTAAAATTTGAATCGTTTCAAATAGTCATTAATGGTATCGAAATACCCGCTACTTAATGTTCAATAACTCAATTTCAACACGAAACAGCGTTCTTTTTTGTTATTGATTAACATGCAGTTAATACATCTATAGCTATAGCTATTTTTCAGTTATCGGTCCCATTTTCTGTATACATTTTTTCATAATAGGCTACAATCGCTGCAAATAGAATTGCCAATATGCTTCGTGCGCATCGTGAGAATAACCGGCTCATTACGGAATATGAAACGTTGTCAAGCGATTTGCTTTCTTGGATCGTTCAGAAACTGCGGTACTTTTCGGTATGCATTTCAGCTTTATTTTCTCGGTGTTTCACCGATTCTTTGGAACCCATTTTTTTAGGTATTCAGCCGTTGCTTCGTATATCTGCAGGGGTTTTTGTTGATGCTATCTTTGTACGAGTAAAACCTGAAGTGGCCCTATTCGAAATGTAGTGTAATAATTTCGTGTAAACAATGTTCAACCGAACACTAGTGTTTTCTAAAGGCTAGGTCTAAGGTAATTGTAGTGACTCATTCGCCATCAAATACAAAGTTGGTCGGAACAGTCCAAGCTGCAGTCCAACAGGTGTCACTAGCACGGTCAGCCCAAGTGTTTTTCTGCAATTTTGGCGTCGTCCGGTTTAATACCACACCTGACCTAACGAGGCCTTATGTGGTTTGCGACTCGGGATCCCGGGTTTTAGGTTACGCGTTTCCACCACTGAACAACAGGTCTTCGTGACTACGGGGTTCACCCCGTCTGCTGTTCATCACCAAAATGTTTGATATAGAACAAAAAAACCCAATGGCTTGAAGTGGAGTGCATTCAAGGAGTAAGTTACCTCAAGAGGTGTAATGACATATGGACCGGACGGCTTGTTTTTATCTCTTAAGGTTAGTGGCCTTACACCAACTTGGGGTTAAAATAAACTTTGATTTCGGTATGAAGTGATAAAAAGGTTATATATATATATAATGGTTAACTGATTGACAGGAAAGAATGTAACCTATGTGAAGACCGCAAGAATTAATCTTCTCGACATCACAAGGAATATGCTCTATAGATTCTGTGCCGCGCGGAACCAGTCTATGTATACGAATTAGGCTGGTTTTAGATATGAGATAGATGAGCAAAAAGATCACCCTCACTACTGTGCTCATTGTACTAGAGCCGCATTGTAGTGCCGATTCGTATTCCATTTGTGTACCCATGTCCCTTACACCTCCGGACCCACCCTTTCATCTATTGTTGCTGAAGCATTCCTTCATCACTAAATCCGCTGCCACCGTTATGTTTGTCTTTGTAGCGAGCGAAACGCTCTTTGGTTTCCCTTATAATTAATGAGCTTTCCTAAATTGTCCGAAGCGGTGGCTGAGCGATGGAAGATGAGGTTATAAGCATAAAGCACGAACAAATAAATGGTTGAAACACTCTGGATATTTCTATTTTTCCGCTTTGGAAAAGCGTAGAATAGAACGACTCACTGAAAATTATTGACGATGGTATAGGAAACAGATTCAGCGACGTCTAAAGTAATTCAAACATCATTTCCAGAATAAGANAAGCCAGGAAACCGCTTACGGTGTTGTGCGCCCTCAGTTGTTTAGGATCATGATCTGTGGTGGTGGTTGTTGCAAATCCATCTATCAGCTTTCAACGTCATAAGTAGAAAGATTGCTTGGTTCACTTGGTGTGTTTACCACAATTTCTACAGCATAACAGTAAAACTAATCACCACCCATGAATCCTGGTGAGTTGTTTAATGGGAAAGGCATTCCTAGACTTTGGTGATAAAGTATGGACTATTAACTTGCTTTTTCTATGAGGAAGATTACATCCCAGTTGAATTTAGGAGAACGAGAATATACATGATTATGCAGAAAAACGAAACTATAAAAAAATACCGGGAGAAAGGTCCAGAAGACGTCGGTCTCAAAAATGTTGGTACTATGGTTCAGTCGCTGTCGCAGGCGTGCTTTGGACCCTATGGTCAGAGGTTCTAGCTCTGCCATCGCCACCCGACTTTGGTGGTAGGCAGCTTTGCTGTCGTCCGGTCCAGTACCACACCCAACTTATTCGGGTCTTATGTGGTTCGCCGCTCCAAGTTCCGTAAGTTACCGGTTTCCATCACTGAACAACAGGTCCTCGTGACTATGGGGCTTTCCCCGTCTGCTGTTCATCACACGAAAGTGAGTAATAAAAAAGGGCCTATATAGAAAAACAGATGGTTGAATACAAAATTTTCCGGTGAGAAGTGCAGTTCACCCTGCAAAATTACTCTAGATAGCAGTACTAGAATCATGTTTAGAATTTATTTCTGAAATAGAAAACAAAGAGTTGCCTGCTTCATTGCGGAGACAACGCGGATAAAATGAATAATATATTCATATCTAATAAAATGGATTGATCCTTGATGTTTATTTTGCTTCTTATTTCAACGTCGATGGATATGTATAGTGTCACAGAAACCAATTGGATTCATTTTCACCCATGTTTTCTACCGTTTTATGAACGTCTCCTTCGGAGTGAATACATTTTTTCGTTCCCGTCAATTTTCTCAATACAATAGTTCTACGGTGGTTCTCATTTCTAGTATCTGTAGGTTACTTCATAGAAGGAATTCGTCTTGTATAGAGTAAGTGAAGCGTGAACTGAAAAGCTGGGAGGCACTGTAAAGCTGTTTCGACCTGGTCGGGTCTCATCAACGGGGCGCATCTATAAACCCAACTGGGGATCGAACCCGGAACCTCACAGCTAGACCATATATATCTCATAATAAGCAGTATGTGAATAACTGGACAAAACTTCCCTGGAGGCACACGACCGGTTTCGCGGTTTCTTGCGGCTCTTCAGGCATGCGTATCCAGTGATCTTTTGTCAGTTCATTCATATACTTGTACCCAGGAAGTGTATTTTCGTCACAATAATCTTTTATTGACTTTTGGATAGACAGCTCATTCAGACGTCTTACGCCAGACAGTGTGCCAATCAAATCATGGTACAATAATCTTTATAAAAAAGAAAGGCGTTCCGTGAGTTGCATATGGACCGAATGCTGCCATGTTGCACAGGTCTAGGTGGTTGAATTTTCTTAAGGAATCCAAAAACGAAGCCTTCGGTTAACCAAAGCCTGACTCGCAAGGCAGCGGGTCGGTGCTTGAAAATCGCGATTCATTGGGGGCGGGTGTCCAGTTGATCGGATCATACGCCCTTCGGACGGGATTAAACATCCAAGGTGCCCAATACACCTTGATTCCCAGTCTAGCCGGTGACCACTGACATAGTGGGAAAGGCAGTCAGAAAGTCATCGTCATCATTCATCATCGTACAGCGAAATACAGTGAAGCGAACTTCACTGACCGCTGCCAAACTCACAATGCATACAAGCTTAGTGGTAAAATTTAAGGTGGACAGGGGTTGGATCTATTTTGAGGAAGGGAGAAGAATATCA